GACCCCACCCCCCAACCTCCAGAACCCAGCCAGCAACCCAGCAACCTGCGGGCACTTAAGGAGTACGCGGTTTTCTGCCCCTAGGTCGCATTTTTCCTCTTGCTCCCGCTCTTTTTCCTCCCCTGTGTTTCTGTAATTTGAAGGCGAAAGAAAACTCAAAATAGTCTCCTCTCAGAAAACCAGCACGCTTTTCTAAAACCCTTCTCTGCTCCTTTCCTTCTGTGTGCAAAGGGCTCCAGTTTCATCCACAGATCAGTATCAGGTTCCCAATGGACCAGATTCCCTCTGGTTTAACATATTCTTTCCCCGCTGGGCACTTCCTCCACCTTTTCAGGTTCTATGCATGAAAAATAGTGTGAATTCCAGGTGTGTGTGTGTGTGTTTGTGTGTGTGTGTGTGTGTGTGTGTGTGTGTGTGTGTGTAAGATAGTCTGAAGATGTACATCTGAATTGCCTGTCTCATCCTGTGTGAGCCCTACCATATGGCTAGTAGATGCAGGACAGTCGAATGTCTCCAATTGTCCTGCTAGGCTAAGGTTGGACCCTCCAGAGCTCACCTGTCTGCGTCCAGGTAACTGGCCAGGTGCCCTCCGGGACGCGTTCCAGAACAGCTAGCCGAACAGGGCTCCCTGTCCCGCTCATTTGCTCTGCACCCTACTTTAACTTAGGGGGATTCTGATTTTATTTCTGCACCCCAACCCACAAAGACAGCGGGATCGTTCCCCATCAGGGTTTCTTACCTCAAACAGAGGACCAATCTTGTTTTTCTCCAGGTAAGCCTGGATTCGGGTTTGTTGACGAGACGCCATGGAGAAAAAGATGGGTTGGCGGAGAGAAGACAGTGCGCCTTGGCTGGGGACAGCCCTCCTTTACCCCCAAATAGACCCGGGACAGGAGCTCTGGAGCCTAGGCTTCCTGGCACAGCAATGGGCAGCAACCAGGTGAGCGGCGAACCCGAAGGGAGCAGGGAGCAGGAAGCAGGGAACCCTGGCTAGGCTCTGCCAGGCAACTCAGGCAACTCCGAGACGAGGGGAGAACTCCGGATCCTGCAGCTTGCGCCCACCCGCTCCGCTTTCCGCAGCGCCGACGCCGCGGAGAAATCGCGGGCAGAGGCTCGTCTGTCCTCCGGGCGGCAGCAGCTGGAGCCGGTGGCCAGAGGCGAGTGTCTGTACAGCGCCTCCGGGAGCCCAGCCGGGGGACAGCACCGGCCGCAGGGGCGACAGCGCGGAGCCGCCCAAAGCGCGCCACGGTGTGCGCCCTGCTCCAGGCAGCCAGGAAAGAGTACCCGGGCTGCTCCCCGAGGCGGTGCTCGCTCCCTAGCGACAGCGCCGCTCAAAAAGCCAATGGTAAAGGTGCTTCTTTCAAAGTGCACATAAATCTAGTGCTTGTTGGCTACTCTTTGGCAGCTGCAACCTCAGTTCCAAAGAGGATGGTCTTGACCACCCAGGGTGATTCTCTCCTAGGCACGGGTCCTGTCTTCACTAGCCGGGGATGAGAGAAAGCCAGAAATGAAAAATTGTTGAGTGGGTTTGCCGCGAAAACAAAGTCGCTTATCATTTTAAAATAATAATAATACCAACACCAACAACAATAATAATATTAAAGAAAAAGAAAAAGATATTTGGCCCGGCCTTGAGCAAGTCAACTGGCATTGCAACCTGAGAACTCACTGAAAATTCTCGAAGTGCTTACACCCAAAGGCTGGAGCAACCCTTGGGCATTTGGTAGGGAGAGAAAACAAAAGCGAGCCAGCAGCTCTCTGCTTCCCAGTTTGATTTTCTGCCCACGCCTTCAATTCTGTCTGTTATGCCTCTAGCTAGAGCTCAGAAGCTCTGGGTGAGCTTCCTCCTAGCAGTGCTTTCCTAGATACCTCCTGAGCGCCTCACTTTTACCTAATGCCTTGTTATTATGCAGGGATTTTCAAATTGAAGATCTACAGATAGCACAGATTTCTCTGTAAAGCTTTTTTTTTTTTTGTAACTTTTTTTAAATGCGATATAAAACACTGGAGCCTTGAAGACGTTTCCCTGGTTCCAAACCATTATGTATTGCCAAACCAAACATTTACACAAAGCTGCTCGTTGTCTCTACAGTACTATACAACGGTTTCCTTAAAGCCGACAGCTACATTATAGATTTCTTCTTTCTTCTTCTCAGTATGTTCCAGATTTTTGTGACTCTTGTCTTTACTGCTGTCCAAGCCTCTCTCTATTTTAAAATATCCTGGCAATGTGCAATAGTTAAGATGAGAATGAATCATTTCAAGAAGTATTGTAGCAATTGCCTTTAATAATTCACTTATAAGAAATCTACCAGAGGGAAAGGATATTAGTTGCCACTGATACCCTGAAGCAGACATGATTTGGGATGGAAAGACTCCCAAACTGTTACTCTTGCAATCATCCTGGATTGACCCGCTAGGTGCAGGCAGGAGTAAACAGCAGTGTGGTGTCAAGGGCTGTCCACATATTGGTGACAGTTCTGGAACTATACTCACTTATGTACTTTTTAGTAAGCTCAGGAGATATTGAATATGCAAAGTGAATTCCAATATTTATACGAAATATGTTAAGGCCCAAGTACAATCCTACATTGTACTTCAGTATCTGGACAGGGTCTTCCCCAAAGTACATCTTCCTGAGGAATATCTTTCTTTAAATCAAATAACTGATATAAGAATTAGTCTTCACTGCGCCTAGGAGTACTACGTCAGGAATCTTGACCAGAAAAGACAAAAGCTTGGGCTGGCAAAGGCTTATATTCATTGATGAGGAACCATACTGACACTCTAACAAGTGTGCTGTCTCTAAGTATCCCAAACTTCCATAACTGAGTCATTTTCAAGCCTCTCTGGTCCTACAACAAATGCTATTCCACCCCAAAGCCTGGTTCTTTCCATTTCTCATGAAATTTGACATCATTGCTACTGGAAGTATTTCTTGCCCAGCTTCTCCATAGTAGACATTATATGAAGATGAAAACTTCAAAGGCAAAAGGTCCTTCGTTTGTCCTCCAGTTTTCAGTCCTGTTGAGATAATTGACACCCACACAGATGGCAGTGTGCTAATATAGGGAGATAGAGATGTACTGGGGCTACAATTTTCCTGGTGACTCTGTGAGGATTGTTTTGTCTGGTGTCCTTAATACATGTTTTTATAAAGAAGATGGTACCCATACAGTGTTGGAAGAGTAAATGTTTGGTTCTCTAGCTGAGACTGGAGGAGTGAGATTGGTTAAAATTTCAAGCTTCAGCATTAAAAATGATCACATAAAAGTGCAGAGAATTGTAACAGGCTAGCATTGGAGAAATATGGGCATAAACACAGATGAGAATCACATGAAGTAAAAACAACAATGATGATGATCATCACCATCATTCAGCTCTCCAAACTCTCAACTGTCTTGCTCAGGAGTGACATGTCTTGTGGGTGATGGGAAGTGACTATTTGGGTTCCCCATTCCAAATAAGCTATAACAGCTAGGGTTAAGACAAGGGTTTGGGATGAAGAGATGAGAATTTAGAAAGACACTCTTTAAGAACCAATCTGCTGAACATGCTGATTTGCTGTATGTGAAGTGAGATAGGAGAGAGACATAAATAATGACACTGATTTCTGGAATAAAGCTAGCAGATGGCAGTTACATGCTCAAGCCATCTACTGTAAAATTGGTTGGCCTGTGTTTTCATTCAGACCCTCTGCTTTCCAAGGGAAACAGTTTTCAAGCAGAACCTATTTTCATCCTATACCCTATAGTGTACAAATTAGTCAATAATTGAACTTAACAATATTAGCACACCCTGTGAAGAGGGCTCCATATAAGGATGTGCTACTCATAATGATAACGAATGCATTAAATTTTAATAGATTGGTCCAGTCCATCAGTGTACTTTTAGGCTAAACTTTATCTCTGACTCATGGTACTTGAGTTTGTTTTGTCTCATTTACTTCATTGCATACATATTTTGTCCTCTAAAACTGCAAACTATTAAAATCATGAATTGTGTTTTACTAGTTTTCTTATACTCACAAAAGGCAATGTATTTTCATATAGTAAGTTCTTCATAGATTTATCTTTAGAACCCTGTGACTCTGCTACTTAATAATTTAATAATAATAATTTAATAATCACTAATTCCCTTAAGGGTTGACTAGGTGGCTGGAGAAATGGTTCAGCTGTTAGGAGGTCTTGAAGCTCTTCCACAAACAAGAGTCTGGTTCCTAGCATCCATGGCAGACTGTTCACAAACACCTGCAACTCCAGCCCCAGAGGGATCTGATCCTTCTGGCAGACAAACAATTAAAATAATAAAAAATATTTTTAAAAATTATTCAAATTTAATCCTGGTCTTGGATTGAATTTAACAAGTTTTTTTTCTATCAACATTAATTTGGTATCTTTAGGATCCTTTCTCCGTTTTTGGCTTATGTACAGCACAAAAGGCCATTTTTAGTGAGGTTGTATTGAACTCATTGTGCTCTGGGAGTGCCTGTCAGCATAATTTACAAGGATACAGAATCCAATTTATAGAGTGTGCTAAAGCCCTTGTCTAACTCCATCTGTAAGACACCTTGTACAGCTCCTTAAACAAATGATTTTCAATGAAAGACAGGGAAGAATGGTGAAGTCCAATTGACCCAAATCAGAAGAACAAGCAAAGTGACCTTGTTGGGAGGCCAGACAACAGAGCCATTCTCTGTTGAACTGAGACTCTTAGCTCTGAAGCGTAGTCTTCTCTTTCCTTGATGACTTTTACCTTCTTACTTTGCACAGGGACAAGTGCCTTCCCAAAGAACACAGCATCTGGGAGCAATTTGCCCATTCAAGGGTAGTGAACAGAGTGTTTTCCTTATTTCTGCCAGACCTGGTACAAATGCCACATCTATCAAGGACTGAACACAATCACAGCACTTTCCTCCACTGAACCAATGCATTTAATCCTGGAGATTTTGTCAAGAAGTAGGTGTTGTCATTTTTCTCATCATTTCCAAATGAAGAAATGAAGGCACTCAGCAAATACATAGCTTATTCCAGATAAAACTAGCAAGTAAAACAGCATGTGAGCTTGAATTTCTATGGTATTTAAAACATACAAATCCTGGCTACCAACATCCCAAGTTCTTCATTTCCCTTTGCTTTGAATTTGTTCGCACCAAGAGTCATTTTGATAATGAATTTCAACTCCCCAGTGTGCAGATATAGGACAGGATATAGCTTGGATGGTAGTGACAATGATAATTATTAGATCATTCTAAATGAACACATTGTCTTTTATGATTTTCAAAAACAGCTAATCAATCACATTCAAACTAACCACTCTTAGAGACTAGTAACACAGACTCTATGACATTCATAATGGCAACAATTCTGTGGTCTGATAATCCCTGCTTTCTGCTCTTACCCAGTGAAATTCCATCTCTTTCAACTTCATACTTAAATATTAAGTTTTAATATTTAATTTTTAATATGCGGGGTGTTTATAAGCAATCTCCATCTCAAGTTCCTTAATTTATCACAATAACTTTACAACGGGCATATTTACTAAGTCATGAGATCACTAAGTCATGAGATTACTAAGTCATGAGATTTGAAGAATGTCTACAGATATCAGACTGTACATATATTTCTTATTTTTAAGGAAATTCTTTTAATCCTTATGGGCTTTTGCTTATACTTTTGCAATGACATTGTCTGAGCTTTCGTTCTAGTGTGAATCATTGTTAGGAAATGGAAAGTGTTACATGATACTGAATATGTTGAAATGAAGAAGAAAGAAAGGATGTCTGAGCAAACAAACGATGATGCACTA